ACAGAAATAGGTTGTGGTTTCAAATTGTCCCTATTTCTCAATTAATTTTATTAAAATGTGGTACCCATTGCCCTTCCTCCTTCCCCAGGCATGTGTGGGCTAGAGGAGAGGGCAGAGACAGAGAGCCCTGTAAATCATTAACCCATATTAATGGTTGAGGATGGCATTTGGGAAGAGGTCTCTGAGAGATGCCTTTCAGACTCATACCCTGATATTATCCACCTGGAAGATCGGTAGAAAGATGTTGGCATGTTACCTCACCTCTTCTTCCAATTCCCCTGTTCAGGGATTGAATCTGGGGGAGCAGATGGAGAAAAGACCCATCCTAAGAAAATGATCTGGTCAAAGAAGTGAGCAGAGAGTGCCTGTGCCAGAAATAACTGCCCACCAAAGCATTTCCTTCCCTTCAGAATTCTCAGCAATCCAATGCCTTCAGAGGAATGAGATTTTCAGGAAGCTTCTGAAATGTTGCTCCTCTGAAGTGTCACATTGCTGGGTGCAGTTAGGAGACCAAAATGTAGCAGGTCTCTCCAGTATCACCAAGTCTGTGCTTGCCTTGGAGCACATGGTCCAGGTTCATGGCCTGGGAAATCCTAACCCAGGCCATTGCCCTCTTGACTGAGGCTGGAGAGCAGATGCCCAGGGCTGGGCCAGCTCCAAGGACAGTGCTTGAACCAATAACACCAGCACCAGATTCAATCAGTTCCTCTGTGAGCCAGAAACCTTCACTACATGGCAAAACCAAGAACAAAGTAATGACTTTCTGCAAGGAGTGTGAGGTCCTGGGATTTGTCCACATGACTCCAGCCAACTCTTCCAGCCTGGATTTTCCTACAGAAGCAGCACTGGGTGAAGGGCAGCTGTAATGGGAAAACCAAAAAGACAATTGGACAGGAGATCCATAACCACCACATGCAAGGAGGAGGCAAGGCCCAGAAGTGGCTTTGGGTGCTGAGGCAATCTGGAGGCTTTGGACCTCACACTGGCTGAACTCTGAGCAGTGCAGAAGGAGGAAGAGAAGAAAGCTGGGCTGATGCTGAGCAAGGGATCAGAAGAGAACAAGGGTGTAAACATCAGTGAGTGCAGAAGGAGACAGTGCCAGTGTGTACTGGAGCAAGTTGGCAGAGAAAATCAAGGAAGGAGGACACGTTGCCTTGGAGGGACACCTGAGCAATGGATGGAGCAAGGGGCCAGAATGAGTGAAACCTTTTTGACTCCAGATGAACTGGCAAAGATGAAGGATAGGCAAAGAAGAGTTTATTTCTGACAACAGTTAAAGGAGTCACTGAGAGCATTCTCTGGAGACAAGCTGCTGTTTTGGAGAGGATATTGGCTGCAACAGGCAGCAGGTGGCAATGGGGAACATGATCCAACAGCATCAGGAGATGGATAGATCCAAGCAGCAACAGTGCTTGGATGTGCCACTGTGCTGCAGAGACTTCAGCTCAGCATATGCTCACAGTGCTGTCTCTGCCCAGTGTGGGCCTCAGGTGGGCTCTGCCATGGGCTTGTCCCTGCTCTCACTGCTGGCCAGAGCTACACCCACTAAAATTGGTCTTGATGAATGTAGATGCCAGAGATCAGCACAGTCCTGGATACAACAAAGCTGCCATCAAACTGTTCCTTGGCAATGGACCGTGCCCTGCCTTACAGCACCAGTAGATTAAACTTACCTGATGTCCATGTCCACACCTGGGCTCACAGCAAATCTCCATATATGACACAAAAGGACTGTGTGTTCCCACACCTGTACCCATTACAGGCCTTGTGCATGGACTCACTACTGCAATTCCACTTTGGCCAGTGCCCAGGGCTGGGTGAGAGCAGTGCTGAGTGGTTCTGTGCTGGCAGGAGCCCACAGTTGAGCTCCCCTCCCTGGGAACCAGTAACAGGTCTCTCTTTCTCAGGCAAGAGCCTTGTCTCAGAGGTACCCTTTCCCCTGGGCAGCTTCAGTATAGGGGAAAACTGTATAGGGAAAATATATGGGCAATGAAGGAATGGAAGAACACAAGAGAAATTACCATGTACAGTCAGACAGAGTCCAGCTGAAGGCTTTTAGACAGAATTTCAAGTGGTTCATTAATACCTAAGACCAGAGCCCAGCTTGGCCAACAACCATTATTGCAGCCAGACTCTGCTGAGCACTGCCAGTGAAGGACCACATCTGAGAGGAATTCCTGCAATGCAGTGGCCCTTGGGCAGGACCTCCAGGCTCATGGCTTTGCAGTCATGGTGCTGGAGAGGAGGAGGAGAGCCTGAGCCCAAGAAAGAGGAAGAGATGGGAGCTGCAGTGGTTCAGAGACAGAGCCATGCCCAAGGCCCCCAAGGCTGGAAAAAGCAGGTACCAGCATTAGCACTCAGGCAGGCACCTTCAGAAGAGTGTGGGGGCCTAAGGAGGGAAAGGAGAAACACCCCCAAAGGTGGCAAGTGGCTCCTTTGCCTCTGCCCACACTGATTTAGTACAATTTTTTCTTGATCTCTTCACCCAGCCTGTCCTAGCTGGGCACAGGGAACAGCTCGCTCTGCCAGCACTCTCCAGCTCCCTCCCCACTGAATACTCCTCCTTACATGCTTCTTTTAAAACTTTTATTCAACAATATAGAATTCTTTTAATTATAGTCTAGAACTGTCCATCACGATACTACATCCCCTGCAACCCCCATGTCCTGGAAGAGACAGGCACAAGCTGGCTAACCATGGTCCATCAGAGGTCGGGGGGAACAGCTGGAACAGAGGAAGGAACGACTAACCAACAACTGCTTTGCACACCCTTCACATTTCCACACTTTCTGGGTCAGGAAGAGCTCAACAAGGAAACAGAGGCAGAAGAACCTTTAACACTCGGAGGGAAGGGCTGCGGTCATAGCGAGGCGAGTGCCGTCCAGCCAGGCGTGTGCCCCGCTCTGAGCCCTGCCCGCGCCGCGCAGTCCGCCCGCCGTCGCTCTACCGCGCCGATGGGACGTTTGATTTGGTTCTCATTCTGCTTATGGAAAATTGGGAGCAACAGCATCGGACCTGAGGAGAGACGGGAGGAGGGAAGTGAGCGTTGCGGGGCACTGCCAGCTCAACACGGAGCTCCTCTGGGCACGCTGCCCCATGTCTGCCACCCCACCCCCAGCCATGGCCCTCTCGATGTGGGGACAGCAGGGGAACCTCAGCCTGCTTTGGAAGGGCCGAGAAAGGAAGGCAGGGCTGAGCAAGGCAAGAGAGAGATGCAGTCCAGCAGAGCAGAACTGTCATGGACAGCCAGACACACGTTTGGACCTTTTTTTCCATGACCTGCTGTTTTGAGTTTCCCTCCACTACCACAAACAGCTCCCATAATTCCACTAAAAGCTCCCATCGTGCCCAGCACACTTGCAACAGTCAAGCTGGCAAAGCTGCTTACTGCATCCATTTCCAACTGCATCCCTCAGTGGCTGCTGGGGCTCAGTTTTGAGCCTTTCCTCTTACAAGGCACTCAGCCAAACCCATGCTCTACCTCTGCTAGAAAGCTGGAGCCAGGCCAGCTGAAAGACCAGGAACATGCACTAGGACTCTCCTAACTTTCTCCAGGAGATAGCAGATGAGGATGCATGTTCCCCAGTCCTCTTAACTTCCTAGGGACAAAGCACTCTTCCCCAGCTCCTGGCTGTCCCTACAGCCACGAGAATGCTTTGCTAAGGTCCAGAAGAGACAAGGATTTCCTGCTCTGAGTGCTGGAAGAGCCACTGGCTGCAGAGATGAACTGGCACAAGCTGCAGTCAAATGTCCCCACTGCTCTGAGATCAGGAGACTCCACACCCTCCTTGCTTCCAGACTACTCTTGCTCAGCTCCTGTTTCCCTTCAGGATTAATCTGCCACTGCTCCTCCAACCCTAGAGCTGGGGTAGGGATGTGGAGAGATAAGGGGCAGGTTGTTCCAGCCTCTCTACTTACTGCAACCAGAGAAAGCCATTTCAGTCTCTGGAAGAGCAACTCTCTTCCTCTGCTTGAGGGTACCAGGAAAGCATTTCTGACTCAAGTTTCAAAATAGATACTTCTCCAAGCACCACCTTGAAATTTCACCATCAGGTTCAGACGCTGTCAAGCATTTATATGCAGCACACTCATACACAGTGGTCAACCGTGTTCACCAATCCAAGTTCCCCCACTCAACCCATTTTTCTTCTCCCCACCTCTTCTGCCTTGCCCCTCTATATGCTGGGAATGCCAACACACAAGAGCTGGAAAACAGAAAAGTTTCTCCCATAGCAACTTGGACAGGCCATGAGAAACATTCACTTCGCAATGGAGCAATTCAACAGATATTTAAAATCACTTCAAAACTCGATATTAAAACCCCAAACCAACCTTGTTGGTACTGGCACAGCGTAAGAGCATAAGAAACTCCCCTGGCCCTCAGGCCAGGCAGCCAGGAGGGTGGGCAGAGGCAAGGAGAGGGCTGGGAACACTCACCAATGCCTTCAGCAGCCTCTGCAGGAGAGCAAAGGTTAGTGAGGCCCTGCAGGATGGCAGCAACCACAGGCTGCTCCTCAGCCCAGACACCCAGGACAGTCCCCACATCCCCAGGTGAAGGAAACTGCTATTCCCTACTCAGCACATCTTTAGACAAAGCCATCCACCCAGGCCGAAAGCAGAAGAGCCTGGGGGTATACAGGTGGAGAACCCTGATTTCCAGCCGTGCACTGGGGACCTGGTCTGACCCACCAGGTAACAGCAGTCATGTCTGTCCCTCAGGCAGTGCCTGTTTGAGGCCAGAGGAGCACCAGAGCTGAGCCCCATGCTGTGCCCAAACCCTCGCACCTCCTCTGTGGCCCCGTGGCAGTGGAGACAATCTGCTGCAGAGAAACGCTCAGGGCTGACAGCAGGAAGAACTGCAACCAAAGACTGAGTGAGAAATCCCAAAAAAAAAAACCACAGACAAGAGGAGCTGGAAGAGCTGACCTGCCCTCCTGGAGGAGACAAGGCCTCCAGCTCTCAGGCCTTCTGGCTATCCCATAGATTTGAGACGGCAGACGTTCAGACGTATAGATATTTATTGGTTTCAGTGAATTATACAAATGGATTGACCTGCTGTCGATGCCAATAGAACTTTATTGGAATATGGAATGTAAACAGATGTTTCAAATAGAAACATTGCAACCTTATAAAAAATTAACTATTTCAACAATGCCGCAGAAGGAAATTCTGTGTTTAGGTGCTGGTGGGAAAACACTATCTCCAGCGTCTAGGTTTGAGTGTCACCAGAACCACTTGATGAAGTTACACACAGAACAAGTAGAGGAGGCAACTGTGAATTGTGGGGCTATAAAGCCATCGAGGGATCTGATGAAAGAACCCATAAGACGAACCCCCCACCCCCCAACAGGATCGGCACCCCAGAATTCAACAAATGGCTGACTTTGTTAAAACACTGCGTGGGATCCCAAGGCCTGGATCAGTAGCTGCACAGCCCCCGCCCTGACACCGCTGTTTGTTGATCCTCCCCCCTCCCTGTGCTCTCCTCCCCGGCCTCCTCTCCACTCCTCCATCCTGCGGTGCTGGATTGAACCGCTCCAGAGCTGTGCTCTGGCACAAGTCTGCGTCTGGCACGAATTCTCATGGGAGCCACGTCATGAGGTACGTGGTTGCACACCTATCACAAGAAATCTTGCAACACTGACTTTCCTGAGCTCGGTGGGAAAGTCTAGATAGTCCCTCCCCTCTCCTGCCACAAGAGCAGCCCTCACATTCACAAGTTTCCAAAGCAGGTCTATTGAGTTTCTTCTCAGAGCGAGCCTTTGTCAAACACACTGGAGGGGGGGATCTCCTCTCCCCAGCAACTCGGATCAGTGCCTTTGTTTTAATGCTCCAAACCAATCCCGAGATGCTGCTGGGTTTGTGGGTTGTTTTTTGTTGAACTCCCCCTCCCTCCCCCCAACTACCCTGGCATTCACAATTGAAACTGGAATTCAAGGGCCAAATTCAAGCCCAGAGTGAGCAGTAAAGACTTGGACCTCAAAACAGAGTTGCACCTGCTGACCCCCAGCCTGAATTTGGTTCATTCAGAGTCTACAAGTCAGAAAGGCAAGTTTAGAAAGAGGCATGCTAAGGGCTGATGGTGGAACGACCAATTTGTCCCCACCAGCGTAGTGGGGAAGGCTGGACTGAGAAGGAAGAGAAGGATCCATAGAGATGTGAACCAGAATCAGTTGTGTGGAGCCCTGGGGATATCACTACATATTTAGCTCTTGCAAGACCATTTGCCCAGGGCTTTGGTACCACAGGGTTAGAGTTACATTAACCACAACCACCAGAGAGGAACTGAGGTTTAAGACCCCCCCCAAGGTTAGATTTCTGCCGAGTATAAAGGGGAGGGGAAGAAGGGGGGGGGTCCTTGGTTCTTTTCCCTTCACTGTGTGACCGAAGGTTTTGCTTTTATTTGTAAACATCTTGAATTACCCGTCGTTTTCCAGTCCTCATCGTGCTGTTGTCATGCCACTGGAGAGCACAGCATTTTCTGAGCTGGGCTGGGACTGCTCCTTCACCACTGGATCTGGAGGAGACAGACCAGGCAGGAAAAGGAAACAGTATTTAATGAAGAGGAAGCTCCACCCAGGCAAATCCTTCCAGAGAAACTGCCCTCAAAACCCACAGAGTTGCTAAGGCTTTTGCAGAGTGGGAAGCCAAAATTGACCCCCACAACTCCATCCCTGCTGGCCCCAGCTACTCCACAGACTCACAGAAATAGGGGTGATCCATTGCCTCCTTGGCAGTCAGCCTCTGTTGATGGTCATATCGCAGCAGCTTGTCCAGGAGGTCAAGGACTTCAGGACTGACCAGGTGTCTGTTCTCACTGTGGATGAAGTTCTCCCAGCGCTTCCGGGAATGCCTGCAAAGGGACTAGCTGTCACTGCACAGCACTACCCTGATGTCCCATGGCAATCACCTGCCACCAGCCACTTCTGAGTATAGCTGGCTGTGATAAACAGCCCACAGCTCTTCTTGCACAAGCTACTGCCCAGCAAATACCTGCCAAAGGTGGAAAACCCTCTTCCTTATGTGCACAATTGTATGGGTCTCCTGTGCCAGGAAAGGCACAACACTGCACATTCCCTTCTGTCTACAGGGACTAGACAACATGACAGCATGTGGCAGCAGTGTGACACCCTTGGGACCAGAACTGCTTTGGCTTGCCAGCCAGCCTCACAGAAGCTGTCCTCACCATTCCATCCATTCCACTTGTCCTTTACAGAAATCTCAACTGGAAGACTCTGAGCCACTCAGCCCACACTTAACTGCAGTGTTTACACCTCCACTTTACGGACGTGAACAAGCAGGAGAGAAAACTAGGGGATGGCTCATGAATCATGGGAGAGACAAAAGGAAAGAGCCTGAATTTCAGTGACTTCTTGAGATGACATGAGCAGCTAGATGTGAAGCCTGCAAGCAGCATTGTTATCCAGAATACTGAGCAGGCCTTTGCTGAGAGTGCCTCAAGGGTACAGATATCAGTTTATCTCCCTCTCTGTGCTTACAAGGAAAAAAAAGGCAGCATTTCACTTCTCCACTTACTGGCCCAGGATGTCATTGAAGTGTGGGTCCAGTTCTATGTGGTACTTCTTGAGATACCCATACAGCTCATCTGTGCCCAGGACCTTTGCGATGCGAACCAGCTGGAACAAAAGGCATGTTCAGAGAGCAGAAGGGCAGCCCACCACTCTTTTGCAGAGGCAGAGCTGCCCAAATCTAAGAGCCCTCCTTCTGGAAACATCCCAGACAGAAAGAGTTTCTCCCTTGAAACTTGCTTTTGCAACACGTGCAGAAAACAAGTTTCCTACACATGGCAGCAAAATCACAGATGGCTTAACCAAACGTAGCAGCATCCTCCCGGCCTGGCAGTCCCATCCCCAGAGCCTCCCCACTATCCACACAGAGATGAACTGGGGACAAACTTTTCACAAAGTAAGCCAGGTAGCAATGTCTTTACTTGGTCATAATTGTCCTGGCCGTGGAAGAAGGGCTCCTTTCGGAAGATCATGCTTGCCAGCATACAGCCTAAACTCCACATGTCTAAGCTGTAGTCATACATCTGAGGGAGAAAAGGAGAAGCTGTCAGAAAATCACACTCACCACAGCCTGGTTCCCCACCAGCACAGGCAGCCTCAGCCTTTGCACTTCACAGCCAGCCTCTCTCCAACCCAGGCAATGCCCTGACAGGCAAAACCAGACAACCCAAAGGTGGCTAAAGTGCAGCCACAAGTGTTATCACTGGATAGCAAGGAGGAGACAGACTCTTACTTGGTAGTCCACAAGGAGCTCTGGTCCTTTGAAGTACCTAGAGGCCACACGGACGTTGTATTCCTGAGCTGGATGGTAGAACTCGGCCAGACCCCAGTCTATGAGCCGCAGCTGAACATGCAATAGGGACACAGAGTCAGCAGCCAGGAGGTGAAGCCACACTGGCCAAACCTCAATCCCTTGATGCAACCGTGGAGCCCAGGGAGGCCCTCTGTGGACAGCAGATGCTCTCAGCAGTTCTCTGATCAAATTTTTCCCTTTCCCCTAGCATCAGCTGATGGGGCAAAGCCCAGCATAGAGCTCCACTGCCTTCTGAGTCCAAGCATACTGTTATTGCTGGGCAGCTGGCTCCTTACCAGCACCACCAGGTCCTTGAGCACTAGGGAACAGGCAAAAGTCTTATCCCACTGATTAGAAGGCAGTGTTGATTTTACCTGGGGACTGAGAGCAGAAAATGGGGTAGGAGGAGGGGCTCAGCACATTGTGCAAGGCAGACCATCTCTACAGCTGCAGAGATTACTGCTTACTAGGGAAGGATTCCAGTAAGAGATTCCCTTCCTTATACACCTTGCCTTGCCTGTACAGCCACTGCTGATTGACAGAGAGGGACCTGTGGACCAACAACTAGCTCCCTGAAACAAACTCCAGCACAAACCCCTGTGCTGCCCATTTCCTGTGGTCTAACCAGCACACCTCAGTAGTGAGGAAGCCATAGACTCCCACTGAGGTGCTCCCCTGTGGGATTTTGACCATCTCCTGCTGCTGGCACAGGTGGAGGGGAGCCAGTAAAGAAAGGTTAGAGGAGTGTGTGCAGCTGCCAGGGCTATAGGTACAGAGGCTGCAGAGTTTCAAGCTTCCCTGGAAAACCCCTGCTTGTAAGCCCTGGTGTCACAGTACCTTTTTTTGTTGGTGGTCTATCATGACGTTGTGGGGTTTGACATCCCTGTGCATGATTCCCATGCTGTGACAGTAATCCAGGGCCTGGCAGACACACACACATATATTAGACATGGCTGTAACCACAGGCACAACATTACCAATGTAACAGAGAGTTCTCAGCCAGAAGCAAGAGTTCACAAGAAGTGCCATAACCCTGGCACATGAAACGAGCAGTTTCAGCTCTTATGCTGCACATGATAAAGTGACAAGCTGGCAACAAGACTGTATGGACCTTGTGCCTTGATGCAGTCACAGGTGTTCCCTGCAGAGTTGTTGAAGAACACAATACAGAGAGATGTCCCACCTGGTGACAAGCCCAGTGCTCCAACCTGGGTAGCCCTGTGCTTCCTAGGTCAGGCTCTCTTCCCTAGAAAGGGAATGATTCCTACATGCATGCAGTTTTATGGCCTTCCAGTGAGGCTTTCCACTTGTGTCCCAAAACACACTCAAGCTAGAAAGTCACCTCTGCCCTGCTGATTTAAGCCAAATTGCACTTAAAAAAGGCAAGTGATAGCACATGAGGGAGAGCAAAGCTGTTGCTTCAAGCTTGTAGGCAGGACCACATATAAGCTCCCCAGCTCCATGACCTTGCACCACTTGCCCCCCCAACGCAGCTGTTCCCTTGAGCAAGGGGGTGAGAATGTTGTTTTCCCATCTCCAAGGGGAGGGAGATCCATCCATCAACATCTATCAGATGCTATGACATCTCCAGCAGCATGGAAAGAGGGTACAGCCGGTAGTCATTCAATATCCAAGACATCAGTGCCAGGGAAACAACGCTGTCCTTGGGCCTGTGCCACAGTGGGAAGCAAGGAGGCAACAGCTTCACCACAGCAAGGCCTCAGAACAGCCCTGCAGTGACACGTGGCCTCACAGCCCACAGGACTCACAGCAAACAGTGGTCCTGGCTCTCCAGTCCAGGCCACCTGTAACAGGTTACACAAACTGCTTCCAGGGATGAAGCTCTTCCAGTGTCTTGTGTTGCCAAGGCTCAAGGATCATCTAAATTTCATCACCCCTCCCATCCTAATCCCAGGCTGCCTCAGGCTCACTCTCAGCATTCTGTAGGAAGGTCCTTCCCTTGCAGACCGGTGAGCAAGCAAAGAACCGGTGGGGTTGCAGAGAAGAAAGTCTCCCTTGAGCCCACTGGATCTGTTTCAGGAAGTCTCCTTCAGTCATCCTTTGTCCTGGAGCACAAAGGGCTTTCCTAGCCTGTCCCACTCATTTCCAGAAGCCTGGGAGCTGCAAAGTGCCAGCCCAGAAGTGCCAAGGCCCTGTTAGGTCCTGACACAGCCAAGCTGCTGCTCCAGCAGGTCAGTACAGAACAGCCCTGGGATCAGTCAAACCCTCAGCTCTCCCTTGTGCCCTGCTGCTTCCCCTGTCCTGCAGCTGGAGAGCCCCAACAGTCAGTACAGCACATCCCACAGTCCTGCCATGGCTCCTTGAGGCAATTTCCACAGGAAAGTGCAAGCTAGGCTAGTTAAGAGGAGGTATTTAGGGCACTCCTCACCTTTCATCAGAGGGGCATGGAAAGCTTTGGCTGGGAGGTGTCAAAGGAAAATACTGATGTTACATGTAACAGCTGGCATAATTAGTGGGCAGAATTCACCTTCTAGGGCTGCATCTGAATACTGTGGCAGAGGAAAGCCTGGAGCTGCCAATCCCTCTCTTCCACTTTCCCTGGCATCATGGTTCCCCAGCCCTGCCTCAAAGGCCTTGTCCTGGCTTTGGCTGGTTTTCTGGGAGCTGATTTTCCTCACAGCAACCCAATGGTTCAAGAGACACAGGGAGACCAAGCATAGCTCTGCCTGGTGACACAATCACAAACACTTCAGACCTCAGAGAATCACAGACTCTTCGGAGGTGATCAAAGGCCCCCAGGTTGGCTGCAATACCTCACAGCAACAACCCAGGTAACCTGACCTCTTGCCAAACCTTCCAAGTCATGAGACTTGGATTCTGCACTGAACACAAGAGAACCTCTTAGCAACAGTGCTCCACGAGCCCCACTACTGCCACTCTTGTTCCTGGTCTCCCCATCCAGACTGCCATAAGCAATGCCACTCACCTTAAGCAGCTCATACATATAAAACCGAATATCAAAGTCTGTCAGGATCTGGTACAGTTGCTGAAACAGATTTGGGGAGGGAGAAAAAAAACAAAAGAGAGAAAAAGTAAATACTCCAGATTTGGATTAGTTTTGTTTCCTGCACCACACCTGCCTCCAACCATTGACCCCATTCCAGATTCTCTAAGAATGCTACCATTCCTGAGGGTTCTCCTGGTCTGAGACCTGCCAGGAAATATAGAAAAAGATGCAGGAGCTCCTGTGAAATGCTACTGGCATTATTCAGACTTGTCACAACTTTCCAGCAGGAGATGGGCAGGCTGTCTGTCCAAGGGGGACAGAGCAAAAGCTCTGGAGGAGGCACAGACAATTGTGACTTTCTTTCTGTTGTCAAGTCACTGTGATGATTTTGCATGTCAGCACTGACAGCAGCATTCAGAGCAGGCGGGCTGGAAACACATGGGAAGGTGTCCAGGTGTTCAGGGTGTGATAGGGAGAGGGAAACATCAATCTAAAGGAGTGTGGGGTTGGGAAGCACAAAGAGGAGAGCCAGCAAAGGCTCTCCTCTACCCCAGGATAAAGGCTAATGCAACTGAAGAGCACAGGAATGCTTGTGGGAGCAAGGAGACCACAACTCGAGTTGTGGGGAAGTGCTCACTGCCACCACTCTCCTGGGTCCTTCTGTGGCTGCTCATGTGGAAGTGACAGAGCAGGGGGCACTTTAACCTGCCCTGTGCCACCAGCACCATCACAGGAAAACTCATCATCCTGCTGCCCCCACACCAGGCCACAGCTGGCCCCAAATTTGCCCTTCTGCTCTGTATCTGTCACAGGCTGCAGAGTCAGCCCAACCTTGCTGAGCTGTTCTCTCTTCCAGGGAAAGCAAGGCAAGATGCCAGGGCACGGCAAGGAAGGACACTCATAGGGCAGCAGTGGGACCAGACCTCTCTGCCCTTTCTTAAAAACAAGGATCATCTCACAGCTCAGACAAATCACCAATTGCATCAGCGCTGGAGCCCACTGTCCATCACAGGCACCACTTGGCAGCTTCAGGAAAAATCCCAGAGCAAAGGGATTGAAATTCACACCCCAAGAAAGCAGCTCTGGCCCTGGATCCCCTCCAGGCCCATCTGAGATCCTTAGGTTCCTGCCTTACTGAGGGCCATTTCCAAACAGCCCCAGCCCCAAAATCAGAAATCATTTGAAAACATACGAGTGTCACTTACACACACACAGTTTTAAAGCCTCCAGGACACAACTGCATTGGATTCTCATGAGCTGGGGTGATCCTAACGCTTTGGAGCAACCCAGTGAAGCAGACAAGTGAGCAGGGAGCAAAAAAGACATAGCCACAAGCTACAGAGCCATAGCAGGGATGGATTTCCTGACTCGTGCACAACTGATGCAGGACACAGGGCCAGCAGAGGACAGCTGAGCCTTTCCAGAAGTCTGTTTAAATGGCTTTCTAGGTCACAAACACTGTAAGAAATGTGTAAAACACGTCTTTCTGGCATTCATTGTCCTGTTCACCTGGCAACATCAATGCACCTGGGGAAGGAGGAGGGAGGAAAGGCAGTGGCATAACAAGATTAGACTTCATTTTCCCTATTCCCTGGCTCTCTGCCTCTTGCTGCCTCTAAGTGGGAAGGGGATGGAAGGGAGGTCACCAGTGTCTTTCTTCTCAGACCAGCAATGCTGTTGCTTCTCTGGCTCATGGCCTTCGGCACTGGGCCATGATAAGCCCCAACACTGTTGGACAAAAAGCATTAAACAGACTTCTCTAGAAGAGCTGCCTGTGAAACCCAGCCCCACTGACCTCTGTCAGTGCCAAGGCCAGCAATGTGGCCAGCAGTGCCCAGCTCTGCTCACCACAGGAACAGTCCCTGCAGGAGCCTGCTCAGCCCTGCAGGCAGCTGGTGAATGCAGACAGCTTTGAAGGACAGAGCCAAGGCTTCCACTGCAGAGCAGCTGCCTCAAGCAGGCTTTGACAGTGGGCTCCAAATCCCTTTTGCCCAGCCTAGCAGGGCAGGACAGACACCTCCTTTGCAGACATGCCCCATGCTCTGTTCTTACAGCTGCCTCTGTGCAGTAGGATTATCAGAGACATCACTGTGGGGATCACTCAGACCCAGCTCAAACATCTGCTCAGCACCCAGGATCCCACAAGGCCTCAGAGACCTGGGCTGGTCTCCTTTCTCCATACAGAGCACTAAAAAGGCTAAACCCACTCACAGGCAGCTAGTGCCCCTCTCCAGCTTTTGGTGATATTTTGGCACACATCACATAACCAATCATAAACGAATCCTGTTAGTGCCCAAGGAGGCAGAGACACTTCCCCCACCATGGGGCTGACAGGAGTTAAATGCTTATTCCTCTCCCTTGAGTGAGCAGCACAGCTGGCTACGTGCAGGAAGCAGCATCTGCAGAGCAACAGGGTGGCTGTGAAGAGAGACACTGCTTTGGGGTGCAGGGCAGCAGCAGTAGTGAAAAAAAGAAAAGGAGAACAGTTCCCAAAGCATCCAGTCTTGGCAGCCACACAAGGGACGAGAATCTTTTATACTTCTGCATTGCTTATGCAGGGCAACAACCATTTTTTAAACAAATCCTGGATGTACAAGGATAAAACCCGTGCACATATTTTGCAGCAACTGGGCCTGAAAATTCACCAAAGTGCAGGTGAAGTAGGAGACTTGACTCAAAAGCCCACTGCACCCACAATCCCATCTGGCTGAACATCCTGGAGCAACCTTCCACTGCTCATCTTTCTCACCCATCTTGTCTTCAGCTCCAAACCTGCTAGAGCAAATCTAATCCAGAACTGCTCCTTGAGACCTGTCTCTGTCCCCTTCTTTCCTAAGGGATTTTCCTCTTTGGGGCAATGAAAGGCACAGTACCAGGTACGTTTCCAAAATACGTGACTGCTGACAGTGGCTGAAGTGCAGACGTCTCATTTCTAATTTGGAACCAATTAGCAAAAGACATTTAATTTCACTGATGGTTCCTCAGTTGCATGTGGCTCTGCAGCACAGCTTTCATTTAAGGCAAATTACTGTGGGAGCTTGAATGCTCTCAGATGACAAGTAATGCAGCAGGACTGAAGAGAAACACTAACCCTGTACCTAAGCTGCTGTCCTCACACAGCAGAATACATATCGAGTCTGGCTCCAGCTCATCCTCCCAGCAAGTACGGTGCTGTCACTTCCAGAAGAGACCCAGACAGGTAATTTAAGAAAATGTAATCACCTCTGGGGAGGTATCACCTAAGTCTCCTGTTTATACCATCATTTAAGAATAGTGAAATAAAAGCTTGTGCTTCTGATCTGGGATTATCCACAGCCACAGCTTAGACCCCACAGAACTGCAGCTTCTGCCCAGGCACAGAGAGCTGAGGAAACCCAGCAGCCACTTCCATGGGTGCACTGACATGAACAGTGTTCTGCCATTTGAACAGGCAAAGGGGTTGAAGTATTAGCACCAAAGCAAAAAATAGTAATGCTGGAGGAAGGGAACTTCCAGGAAGGAGACAACTGAGCAGACATCCAAGCTTGTGAGCAACTACTGCCAACAGGACAGAGAAAAATAAAATCCTGTGGAGAGGTCAGCAACCACCTGCTGCCTGAAAAACGTGTCACCAGGAGCTGAGGCCTCCCAGCCTTCATTACAGGAGGAAGGTCAGCCAGGACTGCCAACACTGCAGCAGCATTTCCTCTGCAGGGCTGCCAGCAGGTCACAGCCCTCAGCCACACAGACTGCCCTGGGAACCCCTCACACACCCTGAAGGTGATTTGCCAGCCAGATGCTGGTTCTCATCAGTGCTGCTGAATCCAGATGTCTACACAGAGATGGGCATATCAGCAGCAGTCATATCCAAACAAAGAGAAGAGGTCCCTGTCACCTGGATTAGCTCATGTGGCACTCAACTCCAGCAGAACTTGGCTGCCCAGGGAGAAAAGGAGCAGAGGGGACAATAACTGGGTGCTCTCCAGCTGCTTCATGTGTAGAGGTACAGAGCAAGGTGAGACCTCCAACACAAGTGGTCTCACATGCTCCATACTCTCTGCTTGTCACTTCAGAGCAAGGGAAGAGACACCTTGAGAGTTTCTATATAGAAGAAGACGCCCACTGGCACCCTCAGTAGAAGCAGCTCTATAATCTGCAATTAGTTGCAGCCCCAAGAACCTACTCAAACAGGCAGACAGCTCATGGGAGTGGAGCATCAAACAACCCACACACCCCATACACAGCTAGGGAAATTCAGGTTACAAATAAGCTATGAACACAAGAAGCCACACTGCATGCCCTGGGGACACACTTGCATTCCCAAGACAAGTTATTCCTGCCTTGTACCAATCAGCATCAAAAGCATCAATACTTTCTGTCTTGGACTTGTACAGCTGTGAATTTGGACTTCCCCGAGGAGCCAGGCTTTCTCCCAGGAGCCTAGAAAAGTCTGCTGCAAGCTCATGGAGTTGTTTCTAATGCAACAGCCAGAGCAGAGCACTGCCACTTCTGCAGTGGCTAGTCCAATGCTCCTCACTGGCTGCAGCAGTGCCAGGCTCTCCATGTGGCCAGGATGGCCAAAGGACCATGGACTCTGAGGCCAGCATTTTTCAGTTAAGAGTCCCTACTGGCCACCAGCCTCAAGGTACCGCTGCCTCAAGGTACTCCACTTCATGGACACATTTCAGTTTCTGGGAGATATCTTTGAGGATAATTTTTTCCTCTAAGGACACGACAGAGCGGTGTAATCACATTTTGACTTGGAGACACACAAAGCAATCCTCAGCAAGGTGTACCACTGCCTGGGCAATGCAGCTTATCTCAAGATAAAATGTAAGATGTATTAAAAATAAAAATCAGTGAAATAATTAAAAAGTCACTAAATAGAAAGTTCTAGGACTAGCCTTACAAGGAGACTATAGGTCACAGGAGAAGCACAGGGGCACATTCTCAACACACAAGGCACTGGCACAGCCCAGCTGATGTCAACAAAACCCAGGCAAACCAAACCTGCTTTAATTAGCCCTGAAAGGTCACCGCAGAGCACTCATCTCAGGGCTGTTTACTTGATGGAGGCAACACTCCTCTGCCTGCCCAGAGCTGTCAGGGCAGGTGCTGCTGCAAGTTGCTGTTATTGTGGCTCCTGCAGTGTATCTCTACATGAGATTAAATAGCACTCAGACCTCCACTGCAGCATGGCTGCAGCTCTGGCTACACACACACATCCCCACCCAGCAGCATCCAGCTCACCAGGCCCTCCCCAGAGGGACAGAAACTACATGTGCTGCCCCTCAACATGCAGGGCTGCAGGAGCTGGTCTGTAAACCAGCTGCCTCCTTTATAACCAACACCAGCCCGAGATTCTTCTCTGGGTGTTTGGGTACATCTGCTTCCTACAGAACCTGTAACTACATAATGATCCAGGACAGAGAGGAAGTAAAAACCACCATCCCATAACATGAAATGAAAGAAATCCCTGAATGGTGCAGGAGAGATGACTGCTGGCTTTCTAATGGCAACTGCTCAATTAATTCTCCACCACTGACTTAATGACTTGGGGTAAAGGCTCACATAGGGGAAGCAAAGATACCATTAAAATAGGTGTGGCTGCTAATTATAGATCCCTTTTGTCTAGAAGCATTTTGGAAGCAAAGGCAGTTGTAGCTGCACTCAGAAGGACCCTCATTTTGGGAACAGTATATCCCTTGGAGCCCCCCGATATCAGAAGAGCCAGGGAACATGCTGCAGCCTCAGACGAGGAAAAAAATCTCTTGAGATGTATTCAAGGATGTTCAATCCCCCACTACCAGTGGCAGTGGGAGATGAGATCTCCAGTCTCTGCCACCCCACAGTCCCCAAGTCTGAAGGATTTCAGAATAAATCAGTGTCACCAGCTCCATCAAATGCACTGCTGTAAACAGAGCACCACAGCTCAGGGATTAACTTGGGCTGAATATATAGCACGGCAGTGATTACTAAATTGAGAGGGGAGTATGAATATCTAACCTGTTGACCTTACTTCTCAGAGTTGGGACATTCAGTAAACAAACCTTTTATGTCTTTTCATCTAGAGGCCATTAACAGGTTTCTGATTTACATGGAGAAAGAAAAGTGAAGCTGACAATTGTGAAAACTCTAAATTCCCCCCACAGCTCTTGTGGATTATCTGAAATACACAGCATTTTACAGAAATGGGAAGCCTCCCTCCTCCACACTCAGGCAAACTCACCTTAAAATCTGTGTTATTGATGTACTCAAACACCAGAGCAGGGGTCTTTGACTGCAAGAGAGAGAAAGTCATGGTTTAAAATACGCACTTGACTTTGGCTCCAAGAGACCTGAGAAAGCCTTTGCTTCCTGCCCAGCCCTCATTAGGGAGAGCAAGGTGGGAGCAGGACGTGGGCACCAGCTCAGCATTTTGGCCAGCACTGCTCCCCTCCTCGTGGAACAGAGAGAGTACTAGGTGCAGCAAAATGTGTCACCAGGAGCTAAGGCCTCCCAGCCTTCCTCACAGGAGAAAGGTCAGCCAGGACTCCCAACACTGCAGCAGCATTTCCTCTTCAGGACTGCCAGCAGGCCATGGGTCACAGCCCTCAGCCAGCTGCCAGCAGAGAAAACTCCCCAGGAATGGGGTAATTGTGGCAGTGCAGACTGCTGGTCACTGGGTAGGTAGGACAGCAACCAGAAGGATTAAAGTGCTTAGTGTCCCTGGCTGGTACTTAGGTTCCAGATGCCAGACAGAAGCTAGAAGGCAACAGGCTCTGCTTTCTTACAGAAAATTTGTAGGACTTCAAAACTTTCCCCCATCAGCTGTGGCAACTCATGGAGGACAGAGAAGGGGTGCTGAAGAGTCTGGGGAACACAGAAAGGAAGAGGAGCCCATCCAAACCAACCAGCCCATGCCTTCAGCTGGTGGGAAGTCAATCCCAGCACACACCCCCAACACAGGCACCTACCACCGGATCCTTGACAGTGTCAATCAGATTAATGATGTTGGTGCCACCACGGAGATTCTCCAGAATCTTAACCTCGCGTTTTATCTTCTTTTTCTTCACTGGCTTAAATAGACAAAAGAAATAAGAAGTGAGAGTCCTTTCACACATTAACACTGATTTATGCCACTGATTTTGACTGGAACACATCACCTCCTCTCCTCTCCTCTCTCTGCTCCCACCCTCATATGGGAATGTTTTTAGCACCAAAGAGGAAACAGACACCTTGCATGAACTAGGATTTCCCTCTCATCCATGAAACCTTCCCACACATCAGGAGGACAATCAAACCACTGCAGACAAACATAACTATGACTCCAGTGACTGTGGTTAAAGACTTGGACTGCTGTGTGGTAACCTCAGCATACTGAGTCATGTTGTGCACTCAGAGCCACAGGACAAGCATGGTGGACCTACCTCTGCTTTTGTTTACCAGCACTAACCAGTCTTTCACTTTTCAACCAGTTTCCCAACGAGTACTTTAATCCCATGAAATGATAACCTGACAGTCTCCAACACCAAGATTACTTGTAAGCACAGACACTGCCGTGACTCACTTGGAACCACCTCAAATGCACAGAGCCAAGTGCACTGCATGTCACTGCATCCATAATCATGATTACTTTTAAAGCCTAAAGACATTTTAAACAGTTTTGACTCCTCCTCTAATCTGCTCAGTCTCAGGAGCCCTCTTTGCAAAGTAAGCTTTTCTCTGGACATCCCCCTGTGGAGAGTGACAAAGAACATCTGCTCCCAAGGCAGAGGCTCAGAGCTTGGGCTGGCTTTTACACTCTGCTGATCCAGTGGTTCACTTCAATGCAAATGATAATTTCTGTAACTCATCCACTCCCAGGACAACCCTAGCTCTGTGCCTGCTGGAAAGGAAAGGCAGTTTAGAGCAGATAAGAGGTGAGGCTTTCTTAATGAGCCTAGGCTATTGACCGGTGTGGGAAGCACCAGCTGCAAGTCACCAAGTCTAGCAGTTCTTCATTCCATAGCTGGAACATCCCCTCCTGCCCCACCAGTACCACTAAAAAGAACTGCAGAGACATCTTGCAGGAACTGGTAAAGCCCTTTGCTGGTAAAGCCCCATCTCTGAGGCTGCTGATGAAAATACTCCTCTCTAGACTTTTAGCTTTCAAAAACATTCATCATCTGGCACTGAGTCTGGTGTGTGTGGAGGGGTGTGATGAGGAATGGCAAAGGTATGAGGCACCTTCCCAAAGTAACACACATTAGCAGATGTCTGTGTGAAGGACAAGGAGCCACGGGAACTCAACAGCTCGTGCTTACCACCTCACCTCTGCCATCTCCCACTTCTATGATGGCCACAGAGTGCTGATGGGACAACTCCCCTTATAGGCAAATCCAAGGCAATCCCTGATTTCAGACCCCGGCAGAAATGTATGAGCAGAGAGGAAAAGGAACAGAAGGTTTTATATAGTGGGAAAATATGGCGTTTATGTAAGTGATAAAATATGCTGTCTTTCCAGGCTCTTCAGGTGGCTGAAACCTTCAGATTCGAATCTTGCTCTTCTCCTCTTGCAAGTTAAAAGGCATAAGCTAGACTTTAAAGCCAAAAGATGAGAATCTCAGCCTGAAGCAAAGTGCCAAAAATAACACCAATGCCAGCACAGGGAGCGTCAGCACCTCATAAAGCCACTGTGGAAAATGGCAGCAAGGCCATGGCAGCTGTCAGAGCTGCAGCAATGTGGGGCAGGGCTTGCTGGGGAGTGGGCGACCAACAGCCCCAGGGCAGCACCCACAGAACACTGGAGAAAGAGAGGATCAGCCAGAGAAGGGACATGTAAACCAGCTAGAGTGAGGGCTACATTTTGGAACCTGAGAAGAGGATGCTTCATTAGGAACTAAATTTATGTCAGTGCGGAGATGGACACTGCTCTTGTGTCACCCGCATGCACAGATATTACCAGAAGGCCAAGATGGAATTAGAGGATGCAATTTGGTTACTCTGCTTGTCCAATAAGGCAGATGCACACACAAGCTGTTTTCCAAGGAACTTCAAAGAGAAATTGAGGCACTGACATGCTGAAGGTACTCCCTGAATGGCCTGGCTGTGACAGACATGCCTTACAGCCTCTCTGCTGCAACACTTGCACCTGCCTGGGAGCTGAAACAGTCCCTGAACACAGCCAACAGGACCCAAAGCCTAATCTGAAATACATTGTCCTTTGTACTGTAGTTATTTCAGGGGCCTTTTGCATCAGCAGGGATGCTGATGCAGGCAGGGGAGGATATGCCTCTCTCCCTCCAAGATTTCCTTTTCTCCTTTCATAGAAACCACTGCTCTGACTGAGGCAGAAGCTGTTGTCTTCCAGTCACTGCTACATGTTTCTTTTACCTTTTGCAGGATGGGAAGATGATGCTCTAAGTTATCTCCATCAGAAATCTATCCTAACCCATCACACCCTAAAACACTAGAGTAGAGAAAATCAGTGACTTTTAGAAAAAAGGAAAGAAGAAAGTTGGGTTTTTTTTCGTGAAATGCCTGCAGATAATCACCACCAACAGCTTCTCTGACATCACCAAGGGAAGATACTTGGGTGAACACTCAGCAAGAGGGAGAGTTAAAAGCCCCTTGCTGTTTGCATTTTTTCCTGCTCAGCTGTAGGACTGCAGAGTTCTGGCCAGGCTGGCCACACCATCCCCATATCAGCTGTGAGCTGGGATGAGGGCCCCAGAAGCCTCCAGGCAGGGCTGGGGTTGGGAAGCCGTGCTCAGAGCAGGGCTGTAAGCAGCACATCCTCAGACGCTCTCCCTGCATGCAGCCAGCGCTCAGAGTGGGGTTTTCCACCACTAGGTAAACAAGGCAAAAGAAATGCCACGGGCTGAAGCAATTTTAGAGGAAAAGCTATTGCCTAGGAGTGTCCTCAGAGACAGCAATGTTGGGGGACAGTTTCCCCATTTCAGTGGTGACTGCTGGCCTACACCCTGCCCTGCACAGTTTTCACCGACCCAGCCTCACACCACCTCCTACCCACACATCCCACCCCACTCCTCCAGCCACAGCTGCACACACCGTGTGCTACCCAAGGGCACAGCACTAGGACTCTGGTTTTGCCTAGTAACCAGTTCCAAGCCCAAGTAACTGATCCCAAGCCCTTGCATCTGGCAAGTCAAACACCTTGGTGCAAACCACTCCAGCACATGGCCAGCATTGCACTGGGGGTAACTGTTCAAACCAGAGAAACTCTGCTGACTTCCCTCATGTCCCAGAGCCCAGTACTGCTGAAACCACAGGCCAGCAGCAGCATATCAGCCACGCACCAGGATTAAGTCTGGGTTGCTACAACTGTCTCTCAGAGTCACCCGATCTGTCTCTCCAAGGATGTTGACTCCAAACACACATGGATTAAATGTGAACTGAAGCTATTATGGCCTCCAACCATCTGCCTCTCCCAGCAGGGATAGCTTCTAAAACACTAGCCCTTGCAGCCATTTTTAACAATACTCATTTTAAGGCTATTTTATTAAACCAGGCCATGAACAGCAGCATTTCAGGTTGTGCTTCCTACACAGGCCATTCCTCCTGCACTGGGAGGGGGATTTCCAGCAGAGGCAAGGAGCAGGCACCTTGACAAAATTAACTGCTCCTGAGTTTGAACTGCCTGTGTTTGCAAGGCAATGTTTTACACAGGTACAGCCTCCAACTCCATCTGCTCCCACGCCAGAGGCATTTCAAAGCTTTCCTCCATGCTGGGATTCTCCAGTGACCAGTATGGGTCAAAGCCTTCCCCTCTGAGAGGGGCTCCAACACAGTCCCTCTGCTCTGTGCAAACACCTACTTCCATGAAATCTGTACAAACTTGACAGCTTGGAGACTTCTGTCGCATTTGGTTGAAATTGGCCAACCAGTGCAAAAACTACTGGGAGGAGGAGAGGGGAGAAAGGCTGACAAACAGCAGGATTGCATAAGACTCGTTTCCATAGGAAACCAGGCTAAAAGACATGTCTCAGTTTAACCGTGTCTACATGGGGAGGGGTTTAATTATTTCAACTGCATCAGTACCCTCAGAACAACATTACTGTCTAGCACAAGCCAGTTTTCCAGTTTCCCAGAAAATTGCTTCCTTCCTCAGACAAACTGGAAGTGAGTTGGCTGTAGATTGTGGAGACAAAACACAGAGCTCACAGCTGTCCACTCTGCTGAGTGCCCAGAGCAGAGGGACAAGATGACCCCCAGCCACAGGAGGATGGTCTCTGCTGCACCCAGCAGCTCTCACCTGACTATCCCCAACCACCTTGGTGGCTGCAGGTTTCCCACCCTACCAGCCAAATGGATAAGGATGCTTCAATCCACTTGAAAGTCAGGCAGAAGAGGCAGTGACAGTGACCAGGGCTATCCCAACTGTCTTTGCCCAAAGGCTGGGGAACATCATGCAAAACTATCCCTCTGCAGAGGTGAAAAATGTCACACAATAAGCTTTGCAGTCAGGTAGATCCAGAAGAAAACACCTCTTTGTGACCAAGAGAACAGATCCTGGGTCATTTTCCACAGGATCATGTAAACTTGTAAGCAGGGAAGGAGTCCAGCTGCAGCAAACAGCAGCTGGAAGAATTAACATTGTTTGCTAAAATAAACCTTTAAATAAAGGACTACAACCATCACTTCCTGTCTTGAATGAATAAATGGCTGCCTGGTTAAACATCTTTTTTGCTTGGTTTCTAAAGCAAAGGGAGTACATTATTCTGTCAGATGCTCCAGTTCCAGCCTTCCCCAACAACCTGAGGACCCATTGCTTGAATTCAAGCAAAGAGAGAAATTAGATTTGCTATTCAATGTTCTCTATGCATTTTCACACTGTGAAAGAAAAGCAGTGACCAGGAAGGCATGTGAAATATGAGTTAAGTCCAAAGCATAAAAATCATTTTACATTAGCCCAGAGCAGGCAGCCTGGCAGTGCACACACGCTGCCAGCTGAGGAGCACACGTGCTGCTTTGAAGGAATCCCAGAAGGTGCTGGGTTTTGCCCAGCAGGTGCTCTGAAACAAAACTGGGGTTAGCACAGCAGGAAGGAAGGTTTAGCAGCCAAAAGATACAAATCCATGAGAAACTCAAGTAATGTATTCCACCACCTCGTTAAAAAAAAATCAATTCTTTGCTCACCAAGCCTAAATAGCCTGGAAATAGAACGATGCTTCCAGTGAACAAGCAGGGAGATCTGAACACACAACGTTCAGGACCAGTGAAAGGCTCGAGAAGCATCTCTATCACAGGCTTTAAACATTTAAAAGCTGGCACTTGAAGCTCATTTGTCTCTAGCAAGTATTATCGAAAGGATCACAATAATCTGCCTATAAAGCCCGACACCAATTGCTCAATAGGAAAATTGGCTTCAGAGCAGCTCTGCTTATTTTGCCAGACATCAGCTGGGAAACCAAATAATCGTATTCCAAAGAGCTACAAAATCAAGGAGCCCACTAATGTTAACGTTCAGTTGGTTGTTTGCATTTTACCACTTCCATTGTGGGAATTCAAACTTTTGTGAGCTGCTCTTGAATTTTAGAAAAGAGGGGAGAAAAACATACCTTGAAACTACAAAAGTACTATTGCTTTTTTAGTTAAATAAAATAGACTTAAGTTTGGTAGAATATCCCAGCATCTGTTCTGAAGGCAGGTTCATTCTTTCCTTCAGAATCCTTTTTGTTCCAACATGGCACACCCCAAAACAACCCTCCTGGGGCTTCAGAATTGCCCATGATACATTAAGAATTCTGCAGTCAACTAAAAGGGAGACACATGGGACCAAGCCCTTATCTCCACCACCACCATTCCACGGGATGGGAATCATTCCTTCAGGCCCCTGTGAACAGACAAAATGCTGTATCTCACCCTTCTTCACGTGGGAACTGCAGCTTTGCAGCTCATCAGTTACTTGGTGTTACACCACCACCATTAGAGTCCCCAGCTGCATCTCCAGGCCTCTGCAAGACACTCAGTACTGTCCCAGTTGGTCTCAGCTCACACAAGGCTGGACTCTAGCAGCTAATTCTGCCAAGCTCATTGTGGGCAACTGGTGTTGGAAAGAGAAGAGCTGTGTACCCATCTCTCTTGCAAAAGGGCTCATTTCAAGACTGCCAGAGGAGGAAGTGGGCCAGGGGGAGCCGATTCAGTGCATGCAAATGCAGGAGGAGCAAGAGACACAGAGAGTTACCAGGAGCAGGCATTGAACGGCTTTAGTGGAAGGTCACCGAGGCAGTCAAAAGCTCCAGCCTGAGGGACCGACAGCATCCAATCCTATTTCCCTGTTCAATCCCTTCTGCACACCAGCATGAGAGTCATCTCAGCCCCCTGTAGAACAAGCTGATGTTTGTGGGCTCTAAAGCTTGTAGAGACAGAAGAAAACTTACCAGAGCCACCATCACTACTTGGTTCTCCAGTTACTGGAGTGATAACTGGAGTTCAATACCGGCAGGATCTTCCAAGAGTGCCTGGTATAAGCAGCAGCTCTGGAGGGTTCATGCAGCCCAAATGGGGGAACAGGGGAAAAACAAAGCCAAACAAACAAGAATGCACTTGTGAAACCATGTACATGGTTGAAATTTCTAGTGTGTGGACTCAGCACAGAGGGACAAAAGCCACCAAAGGAGAAAAAGGCTATTTCATCACTGCTGCAGGACCTCCATCTCACTGGTCCCTCTCCTTGAATCAGCGTTCTTCCCCTACCTCCACCTATGCTGTGCCTATGCAGAGGAACCACACAAGGAGACAAAACAGCCTCTTTTTGATGGGTTTAATGCTTTGCAGGCAAGTAGAGCACACATGGACACACAGGTGCATCAGGAAAGCAGGATGACTCCTGATTCCTATAGAGACCTGCCAACATGGATGCTGTAATCTCCATCCCCATGGAGGAGGTACAGTAGGGATGGAGGCAGTACAGGAGACTGGGAGGTGGTACAGCCAACAGCACCAGAATTAACTGCAGCTGGCTCGTGATAACAGCATCATTCTCACTACAAGGTATCACCTGTAGCAGTTACAAGCAATGTGGAAAGTTATCCTTTGCCCTTTAGAGTGGCAACTTGCAACACTGTTCACATCCTACAGGAACACTGTTACCCCAGAACTCAGGATTCACTTTAAAGGTATGCTGGGAGACAATTTGGAGCTGCATTAGCAAAAAAATAAAATGAGAAGTTCATCAAAGAGACAGCACAGACTGACCTCAGCAGTCCACCAAAAACCTCTGTGTGGTAAGATATGGAAGAGCAGAGCTTTAGATACCTGCATTGGATGTTGACAACACACAACTCATTGGCAACAAGGATGTCTTAAACTTCCTCTGTACATGCTGAGGAATGTCAGGCCTCATCCTGGGAGGCAAACCTTAGCATCAGATTTAAGCAAGACACAAAAGCACGTACAGAACTCCTTCACACACTCCCCCTTCCTGGTGTGGGCTGCCCCAAGGCAGGCAGGAAGCTAGGCCACAGCTGTACCCAGGCCAGCCAGATCAAAAAGCCCACAGGAACCTCCAACACCAGCAAAGGACTGCGAGAACACAGCTGCTGGCTGACTCCATCCCTACTAGCCTGAGGGATAGGAAGGTCAGTACAGTGCAGAGTCCCCACACTTGAGACCCTTCTCACTCTTTGCTTCCTGAAGACATTGAAAAGGGGAGGGGAGTTGTCCTCTGCCTCACTGCTCAAGATAAAAGCTTCTGGAAGGTGTTGGGCAGGGGGTGTCTGTGTGGCAAACCAGGCTCCTGCCCCACTGCTTTGCACACACCATCACCCTACAGAGTGCATCCTGATGTCCTGCTGCAGTGGAGTGAGAAGCAACCTGCTTGCTTCATTTGCCTTTTTAAAAAAGAGCTGTAGAATTTTCCCAGGAAAAGTGACATTAAGAGCATCGTATTTGTAAGGCACTTGATCCAGGAAATGGTAATGTCATAGCCATTTGCACGATCTTAATTCTCTTCCTTTGCTGATACACATTATGACCACGACTAGCAACATCCCTTTTTCCTGCAGGATTATGCCTGGCCCTGTACTTAGAGTAGGAAATGCTGAGTACTTGGCCAGAGAAACAAGACACCTTGCTTTATGCAAGCCCAGGAGGCCAAGGGCACTGTGGTACCAACCAGAGCCCTCAGCTCCCTGGCCTTGTCCAAAGCCTTATGGACACTTACAAACAAACCAGGCGAGTGGCTGCCCAAAGAGGAAGAGCAGTTATCTCCCTCATGCAGCACTAAACCAGGACCTATGCTCTAGACTCAGCTTGTTGAGGCTAAGGGACTTGCCCAAAGTCACACAGGAAATCTCTGTGGCTCAGTTCTGCATCAAAGGGTGATAAAATTTCCTGACCTCTGTGGAAGATGGTACAAGATGTTCAGGTAGTACAGCACCAAAGCAGGGGAAGTACTTGCTATGTGCTAGTTTGAGCTCAGTAAGGACAAGCTGCTTCAAAGACCAAAGGCTAGGAAGACACACCAGTGACTTCCCACGAAGCTGAGATATTAAAACAGTGACTCTTGCTAAAACTCATTTTAACACCTAACATAAATTGTACTCTCAAAAAATGTTAAAGAGAAAGGAGCAACTGTGCTAAACTGCTGCATCCATTGCCCAACCATGGCACTTCCCTTTGACCCATCCCTGCATCACACAAAAACCTGAAGACTTTTGGTTGCATTTCTCATCTCACAGAATCCAAATTTTTACCCAGTTAGGAGAAACAGACACTCAGACCCTTTGCTAAGGCTCCACTGTAGATACATGCAATTATGTTTGCAATTAAGTTTTGAGTCTAGTTACAGGAAACCAGAGGCACTTTCCACAGAGTAGAGTGATGTTATTGCCACACTTCACAGGTTTTCATAATGTACACAACGTGGTGCTCTGAAACTCCCTCTTCACTGACCCACTTTCCACTGAGGAGAAAGTTCATCTTTATTTATCTGGACCTTCTGCTTTTCCTTGCTCGCTCACAGGAATGCTGTCTGCATGTTAATGCAAGTGGGGAGAGCCAGGGGAACCAGTGGCAACACCATCCGCTTCAAATCTGGGACAATCCAGTCTCCTGCTTGCAGGGCATTAAGGCAACACATTCAGGCCCCAAGGAGAAGGAGCACCCAGCTGCCCTGAGATGACTCTTGCCAGCTGACTCACCGTCCAAGGCTGACAGGCTCCCTAGACGTGACAGAGTTCAGCTGCCACAGGAAGAGCAGCATCGCTCCAGGGGAGGCTCTTTGGGCTGGGAAGAGGCAAGGAGCAGGGTTTCTGATGACTTTCCCTGCAGCCTCCTCTCAGCCTTGTGGTGCCTTTCTATGTAGGACAAGACCTAGGATCTCAACAAACCACAGCAGTCCCGAAGAGGCCATCAAGGGCTCCAGAGCAGCATGCACAAATGCAGTTTCCCCAGGCCAGCCACATGGCATCTTGCTGTAAAATCCAGCTCTGCACTTGCCACTTGTGACTACTCACAGCAAAAACTCCTGCCTGCATCTGCTTTAAAAAAGACAAAACCCCAAACCACAAAAAGCATCCAAAGGAGGGGGAGGGATAAACAGCATACCAGAGGAACCTGGCTTGGCAAGGACAAACGAACCTCTCCACTCTGCCCTGATGTCAGGCTTAGCCACAGAGGCTCTCCCAAACAGCTCACCTGGCCACCTCCTTGCCCATAGCCAAAGTTGGGGTTTGTGTGCGTCCTCCCAGAGGCAGATGGAAGATCACACCTTTCCCAGGAGTGCTGGCTGGACAAACCATGACAAGTTCTTTGGGAAGCTAAGGCAGATCCCAAGGAAGCAGACACAGTGAGAGAGTGGGAATGTCAGCAGAGACAGCCAGACATGTTATCCGAGTGGATCTAGTGAATGCCTTAAGGCTACAGCCCTGCAGAGATGCATGTCCTGGAAAGCTGCTCTTCTCAGTGGCTGCAGGGGCAGGTTAAGCTCAGACCCTCCTGCACACTGTGGATGAATGTGTGCCCAAATTCTTAGGACACCCATGGTTAGACACTGGCCTGGCTCCCACGTGCTCTTGGGGAACAAGTGACAAGTGTTGCTGGTCCAACAAGTGACAGCCACAAGTGTCAGCCAAGCCAGAACCAAACATACTGCAACTCTAACCTTTCATCTCTGTCTTAACTCCCCTGCCTGCCCCAAGATCACCAACACAGAGTGCTACTAGGACAGCTAGCACAGCTCGCTGTGAGCTCTGCTTCAGTGTCAAATATGCTGAGACATGCCCTGCAGTGTATAACCTGTACTCAGCCATCCCACACTACAACTTCCCAGTGCTGCACAAAGGTTCCCACAGCCCAACCCCACCAGGGTCATCACACCAGCACACAGGTCACCAACACTGCCAAACTTTGGTAGGTCTCCTTGAGCCCCCTCAAGTTTCCATAGTCTGACTGTGATGAAGTTCTTTTCCACATCAGATCCTATAAAAGACTGAATATAAAATATTGGTGCTTTTTTAACTGCTGAGCATCCCACAGCCTGGCTCTGAAAAGGCCACATGCCGGCTGTCTAGAGGTTAACAGAAGGATTCCCCCCTCCAGGCTTCACATTCCAGTTGAAATGGCAGTCCCTGGGCTGTTTTAGACAGGCATTGCCAGATACGATTTGCCAAACACAGGCAGAACACGCAACGCTGTTCAAATGTCAGGACTCACAGCTCTCCCCCACCAGAGGAACTCTCAGCTCTGAGCTATGCTGGACAAGGAGCAGTGGAGACATCAAAACATCACTACAGCATGCAAGACACCAAATCCATTTCCAAACACACCATCCCAATGTCCTTAGCGAGAAAACAGGAGTTTTAGGGTGAAGAAAGACATTCAATAGTTCTTTGGCCCTACTAACCCAGCTCCTCTCTCTCTTGCTCCCAGACGCCACAAGCCTCTATATCATCAACGGGATACTCACCTTGAGGATCTTCACGACGACCCTCTCGTTGTTGGTAATGTTGATGGCCTCAAAGACCTCGCTGTACTTCCCTCGGCCGAGCTTTCGAACCAGCTGGTAGTCGTCCTGATTGCTGCGGGCACCAAGAGGAGAGAGGCGGCGGTGGGGGAAGAGCAGATAACTAACAGGGCAGCAGGCCGGGGAGGGGGGGTCCCCTCCCAGCCTCTCCCCCTCCGCACTTCCCCGGGGACACCGGGGCACGGGAGCGGGGGATCAGGAAACCCTCCCCACGGGCTGAGGCCCTCCCGCGGGACGGAGGGCGGGTCCCCGCACGGCGCTTTACCCCCAGCTCGGGACGTGCGACTCGTAGTCCCAGTACTCGCGGCTCCTCAGGCTGTTCACCTCCGCGTACACCCGCGCCCGGCTGCCGGCGGCCGGGCCGGGCATGGCGGCGCCGGGCGGCGGCTGCAGCAGGAGGAGGAGGAGGGCGCGGGGCCGGCGCGGGAGGCCGGCGAGGCGGGGCGCGGCGCGCAGGAGGGCGGCGGCGGCGGGCGGCAGGGCCAGGCCGGAGCGGGGCCGGGGCGGCGGGGCGGGGCCGGCCCGGGGGCGGCGGGCGCGGGGCCCGCGGAGCTGCCGAGGCCCGGGCCCGGTGCCGGCGGCTGCAGGCGGGGCCGCCCCGAGCGCCGCGCAGCCAACCCGGAAACGGCAGCGCCGCCGCCGTGCCCGCCCAGCGCCGCGCAGCGCCCCCCGGCGGCGCGGAGGTCCGGCCCCGCCGGCTGCTCTCGCCATCGCGCCCGCCCCTCAGGCAGCGCGTCCCGCCGTGCCAGCCTCCCCGTCGCCTGTCACCTGTCCCGTGTCACCGCCCCGCCACACCCTGACACCCCTCTGCAGCCGTGTCACCCGCCCAGCCTCCTCCCGCCTGCGCCATCGCAGCCTGTCACACGCCCGTCACACCCTGACACCCTCGGCGCCCTCTCACGCCGCTGCAGGCGCTGTCACCTCTGCCACCCTCACGACCCCACCTCGGCTTGGTGACACCCCTATTACACTGTCACCACATTGCCACCTCCAGTCACACCCCCTCGTTATTCCTGTCACCACACTACATCTTGCTAGCCCCTATGGAGGACTTGGATGAACCAAAGGCTCCATGTTCCTCTGGAGGAGCTCGCAGAGCCATGGCTGACCGAGGTGAGGAACCTCCGGAGGTCACCTGGTCCAAGTCCTGCTTCAGCAGGGCCACCCAGGGCCGGCTGTCCAGGATCTGGACACTCTAAGGATGGAGCCTCCACAACCTCCCCGTGCCAGTGGCTTTGTCATACTCACAATGAAGAAGTGTTTCCTGAAGTTCAGAGGGACCCTCCTTTGTTCCAGTGTGTGCTTTTGGCCTCTGGTCCTGGCACTGGGCACCATGGGGAAGAGCCTGGCTCCCTCCCTCCAGTCTCTCGTTCACCTTCGTGTCCCTTCACTGGCCTTGCCATTATATCCCTGTATCCCTGGCACTAAGAAACCCAGCACTTGGCACAAGGCTCTAGGGGTGACCCACCATGGCTGAGCATATGGGAAGTGTGTCCTCTCTTCACCTCCTGGCAATGTTTTGACTGAAGCAACCCAGGCTTCTCTGTGGCTTATGTTCAGTGTGGTGCCTGCCAAGACCCCCAGATCCTTTTTGGAAAAGCTACTTCCCAACAGAACGGGATGTGGTTTTGACCCCAGGATACTGTGCTAGTGACTGGCCTCTAGCTAGAGTTTGTGCTGCTAATCACGACATTCTGGGGCAGTTTTCAATCTACCTCACTTCCCCCAGTCCCAAGGGAGCTGCCAACCCCAGCTCTTCCTCAAGCTCCTGTGATTCAAGCCCTCATGACTGGCCTCAAAGGATCACCTTAGGCTCAGGTGGAAATCAGCCTTGATTCCAAAGTATCCCCGGGAAGATAAGCATGTGGATTCAACCAGACACTGCAAAACCCAGAGAGCTTTTCGTATGCCTGAGAATGAATGATGAAAAAACTCAAGAGAAATTTATAATTTCATACTTCAAGTCCTGACTGAATGCAGCTCAGGCAAGACTTTCACAGGATCTTTGGAAAACAAGGAGGATGTGTTCATGATGCTTGCTCTTCCAAGTCACTCAGCCCTGGAGAGAAAAGGCAGACATGACACTCACTCCTGCTAAACCTGTCTTAACAAAGCAAGAGGAAGATTAGCTGTCCCTCAGGAAGGCTGCCCCATCCAGAGCCTAGCTTACTAGCCCTTCCTACCAGGGCTGCAAAGTGAAGATGAAGATCATCTCCTACGACCTGGAGGAGATGTAGAAATGCATAAGCAAAGCAGTCAGGCCCTGCATAAGCTGGCAGATATGCAAAGGCCAACGCCTGAGTCACCGGTTAAAGCGGCGCCGTGATGCCGGGATGTGCAGGTGGCTGTTTTGCAGAGTGAAGGGGCTGGAGCTGCCCTGCTACACAGCTGAGATGTTTATCTCTCACAGCAAACTCTGCATGGGACCACAGCAAAATCCCGTGTTAAAAGGGAATTTGTCTTCCACAGGATGCTACTATTTGGGCAGAGATGCCCAAGCATAGAGTTGGCAATGTTTATTTTCTGATGGATAATTTTCCTGGTAGAGTACACTGGGTTGTCAGCAATTTCATCACTGGTGACATCTTCCTTGATGCTTTCCAGTGGGACACAGGCAGGCTATTGAACTGGCTTTCCAGGCTGATTCCTGGCAGGAAAGCTGGCCAGTGTGCTGCCAGCTCCTCCAGCTGGCGCCTGGGCTGCCCAGCTCTGGGCACCACGGCTGCCTGCTGCCTTCTAATGCTGCCTGGCACTGCCCACAGCAAAAAAGCCCTGTTTGCAGTTATGGGAAGTTTGCCAGGCTTTACCTACTTTTCACTGAAATGCTAGAGAGATGTTTTTACTACAACTACTATTATTATTACTATTATTATTATTATTTTCAAATGCAGCCATAAAAGCCCAGCTGTCTCCCAGAGCAAAGCCAGGAAAAATATTTGTTCAGCCATTAAAACACCACCTTGTCTGAAGACAAGATCTCTGGAGTCTGGTGTTTAGCAAGGGACAAATCTTCTGGCAGAGATGTGCTGGGTCTCCTGCTGACCTTTGAAAAGCTTTGTGTGGCTGGGCAGAGCTATAAGCTTCTTAAAAATCTGCTCCCCACATTCCTGCATCTGAAAAACCTCTTGGCTGTCCAGGGATGCCGTCCTTGCTCACCATCCCATCATGGCTCTGCTGGGTCACTCAGCTGCCTCTCCCCAACCAACTGAAACACGACCTGTCACAGGTTGAAGCATCGCAGCCATGGGCTGGTGAGGAGACCTGGTGTTAGAGTTATCCTTACAGTCTTATTCAGCCAACACACACAAGCATGGCTTTGAAGATAGCTTTTAATTCATATCCCCATGTTCAGCCTTTTCGTGGGATCCCCATCCCACCTTGCATGCAAAGAGGAACTCCAGGCTAGGCCCCATGCGTGCTGTTGCCTCCTCTTCATCCCAAAACACTCAATTTCTGGTATTGAGTTCTGTGTGTGATGAAGATCCCGCAATGAAGGATGTTCATCCCCGCACC